TACTATTTCACTCATAAAATTAACAAAAAAGGCTACATTTCGCCACACTAACGGTTGGTTAGCCAGCAATACTTTTTCAACAAAAATGCATGCTTACAAACTGCAATATCATACTCAAAAATGCTTTCAAACTGAAATATCATTATCTAAAACCAACATAAACAAAAGTATAGTATGACAGGTTGACCGTAACTAGGTCAGCTCATACAAGAATTTGTGTAAATTGTATTATTAGCTCCACTAAACAAAATTCTTGAACAACAAAACCCTAATGCTGAAATGTATGACTTGATCCTCAAATCGAATTGCTCAATTTTAATGAAAAAGGTGCAAATACAAGCTTATAAACACACGCGAAGACAGATGCGCGAATTCTTACATTAGCTTTGAGCTGATTGATGATTTTCAAGCGTATGGCGTCGATTGTGCCGTCGTTCATGAGGGTCTCTAGCACGTCCTCTGGGGTTATCACAGGCGATCCCATCCCTCCTAAGTTGTTGAATTGAACTCCGATATTGAAGGGTGTATATATATGAGTATTGTGGAAACGAGAGGCATACGGTGTCGTTTCTCTTCTCCGAAGAGTAAAGTCAATGGTATCGGGTCGAGTTATCCTTTTCTTGTGTTCACTTAGATGGATCCAAATTCGAGTTACCAATGTGGGGGCGAATTTATGGTTTCGTTTGATAGATAACGGATTGAAGATAAAATAGCGGATTGAACTTAATTGAGAGGTTTGATCCGTCAAATCCGTTATTGACCTTGTTTGGTAAATAGCTTATTTGATAAACTTTTTGGGCCCAAAACTCTAATTTAGAAAAAACTCATTAGAGCAGCGTTTTGGGATAGATGATTCACAAAACTTTATTTTGTATTATTTATTTTACAATCTACATTGGTTTATGGTGCTAATAAATAATAATATGTCATTCATATGATTAATTTATCTAGAAAAATGTAAAATTCATAACTTATTCATAAAGTGTTAGTAAATTTTAAAAAAACAATATATATTTATAAATTACCAACTAAAGAATATTAAATATTTTTAATATATTATTATTAAAAGAATACATCCTAAATAATAAAATATCTTTATTGGTCATTTTGCAATGTCAAACAGGTATAAGCTTTCAGCTATTTGTTTGTCCCATCTTTGTTGCTATTTTTTTTATGTTTTGCTTGTATTTTCCCCTATTTTAGGTTGTTTGTTAGGTGTTACCGGTCCATCTAGTCGTTTCTCGTGTTTTAGTGTTATTTATTCGTGTTTCGTGTTCTCGTTTTCTTTTCTTCTATTTTCTCTTGCTTTTCGCGTTTTTTCCGGTTTTGGTGATTTCAGGTTATGCCGGTTACCAAGTGTTCCATGCTCGTTAATGCAACCAAACATGCAAAGGTCGATTTTCCAGCTCGAGCAGTACCCGAGCAACGCTAGCCGAGCACGCGAGCCAAAGAAAGAGCAACTTTTGGGCATTCCAGGACCTTAGCGCGTTAAGCCATCTTAGCGCCGCTAAGGTTAAATGGCTAGCGGTGCTACCCATTCTTAACGAGGGCTGGGGCGAACAGCTAAGGCACCTTAGCGGCGCTAAGGTCTGTTTTTCAACAGGCGCGATTTTGAGGGGTTTTGAATTGGAGTATGATATATTCTCGAAACTAGGGCTAATGTTGGGGACTCTAAGACATTGTATTTTTTATTTTTGCACTCCAAAACTCTTCTTTCACCTGGTTTTGCTTAGATTTGATCTTGGATTGTGAAAACACCAAGATTAAGCTTTTGGATTTGGATTATTCGTGGTGTTTCAACATTGGATTCATATTTAACCGTAAGCATTTCCTTTCATTTTGTGTAAGGATTTGATTGCTTGCTTAATTATGAATTGTTGTGTTGAAATTGCAATGAGTGGCTAAATTCGTAGCTAGGGTTATGGGATAATTGTTCCGGTTCAATTTCGTTTGTGTGTACTTTGATTGCTCAATCTATTCGAGTTGTGTTAATCCTAGGGTTGAATGACTGATCACCATTTTAATCCACCAAATCGACTCTTAGAACCGAAAGGGGAGGAATTGATCGACTTAGGCTCGTTTAGAGTAGACTTGTTCGGAGACGTATTGTCTATGTGCTAATTGATTCGATGATTGTTCGTTTATGTTTATTCTCTTGTTTCGTGAGTTATTGAGAATGAATATCTAGGTGAATTGGTTTTTCGAGCCCTTTAGCCGAGTAGTCGATTGCCCGTTAAATGTATTAAGAACTGGAAACGATTGTCCCCGATCCTAGTCATTTTTACAATTATTTGAATCTTGTTTGAAGTAGTGTGATCGAGATTGTCTTGTTTGAGAATCACTAGTGGTTAATCTAGTAGCTGATAATCGAAACCAATCAATTGAATTAGAGTGTTTAGGACTTGTTTTATCTTTTCGTGTGATTGAATAATCGTGCAAATTAATCCGGCCAACCTTCCTTGAGACACGACCCGGTGTTCGAAAAAAATAACTACAACAAAAATGGCGCCGTTGCCGGGGTAGGCTTAGGACTTATTTTGTGCGCCTATTCATTTTGTTTTCAGTGTTTCTCTTATTTTTTGTAATTTCTTGTTTTGTGTGTTTCTCTTTGTTTCGTTTTCTTTGACTAGTTCTAGTGTTTTCTTGTTTTGTTTTTCTTTGTCTTTTTCTTATCTATCTGGTGCCCGTGACGTTTTTGTTGTTTTTGTTTATGCGTACCAGGAGTGGTCGTGTAATCATCCCGAACAACGAATCCATCCAGAGGGACCTCCAGGAATTGTTGGCTAACCTTGCCCCTGTATCTTCAGACTCAGCCAACCGAGACTCAGATAGTCAAGGAGACATGGCAAACAACAGTGAGGAGGAAGTGAATAACCCACCTCGTCATCTCCTTCGTGATTTGGCTCAGCCAATAATCGGGCCAATGACTTCATGCATCCAGTTGGGGCCAACAGCTCGGAACTACGAGCTAAAAACAATCAACTACAACCAGCTGCCATCTTTCTATGGTCTACCCAACGAGGACCCACTCCATTTCATTTGGGAGTTCTATAATGTCCTCCAGACTTTCCCTCTCCACAACTTAAACGAGGACCAGCTGAAGATAAGGTGTTTCCCAGAGACACTCAAAGACCGGGCCAAGGCTTGGTTTATGACACTTGCTCCCGACTCTCTAACCACTTGGGAGCAAGTATACACCAAGTTTATTGGGAAATACTACTCTCATCAGAAGACGCAGGAGTTCCGATCTCAAATCGTTTCCTTTGCCCAACAACCGAACGAGCCACTTCATGAGGCGTGGGAGCGCTTCAAAGACCTCCAGAGGCAGTGCCCACACCATAACTTCCCACCTGCCTTGTTAATGAACAGCTTCTACGACTCTCTCCACCAGAATCTCCAGTACATGGTGGAAAATGCAGCCGGTGGAGATATTTTGGCAAAGACGGCCGAGGAGATGAATGATATTTTTGAGGCGATGAGTTCTAACTCGTCTCAAAAGAGCAGTCGAGGAAAGAGGACCGAGGTCCACGAAGTATCTTCTGGGCGAGACATGATGGCCCATCAGATAGCCGAGCTCACGGAGAAGATGCGGCTACTGAATGCAAGGGGAGGCCAGCCAATGCAGACTATGACCGTAGAGGCGTGTGGAGCATGTGGAGTCCAAGGGCACAGATCCAAGGAGTGCCCCTCGGCATTCGATCAGGATTTTTGTGAACAATATGAAGATGTCAATGCTCTTCAAGGCTACCAGAACCGGTCTGCCAACGACCCATACTCAAACACGTATAACCCGGGGTGGAGAAATCATCCAAATTTCTCATGGTCCAACACCCAACAGCCTCCTCGACAGAACTTCATGCAGCAACAACCCCGACCCACCTTCAACCCCCAACAGCAAATGAGAACGAACTACCCTCAACAGCAGCAACAGCAACCCCAAAGGGGCCAGATGGGTGGGATGCAAGCACAAGGAGCCGACTTCAGTTCATCAAATCAAGACGACAAACTGGACAAGATTCTCCAGTTTATGGCCAACAGTGAGCAAAGGGGCTTGAACACCGATGCTCCATCAAACGCCTGGAGACACAGTTGGGCCAACTTGCTACGAGAGTGGGGAACATGGAGGTCGATTCAGACAAGGGGAAGTTGCCCAGCCAGCCTAAGGAAGCCAAGGCGATTACAGTTTTGAGAAGCGGGAAGGAGGTAGACAACCACGTGAAAATGCTCGAGCCTGATAACCTTAAGCCAACCGACCAGCCAAAAGGAGTAGAAGAGAGCCCCAAGAAGAATACAATAGTTGATTCGAGGAAGCAGATAGACAGTTCGAAGATGCACAAGTCACCAAACCCCTTCAAACCAAGCATACCTTTTCCAAGCCGCCTTCGAGACGAGAAGCAGGAGCAGCAATTTCAGGACCTATACAACATGCTCTCAAAAGTCAACGTCAACCTACCACTCCTAGACGTGATCAAGAACATTCCTTCCTACGTGCAGTTTTTCAAAGACTTAGTGACCAAGAAGAGAAAATTCGGAGATGGAGAGAAAGTGGTGGTCTACGAGGCTGCAAGTGCTATGCAACATGATCTTCTGAAGAAGGAACGAGATCTCGGGGGATTCGTGATTCAAATAGCTCTCGGAAATAGAAAGGAAGCTTCGGGGATGCTAGACCTTGGAGCAGGGATCAACCTCATGCCGTTCACTATCTTTCAGCGGCTCGGCCTAGAAGAATTGAGGCCAACCCGCATGTGCCTTCAGCTCGCAAACCGTTCTATCAGATACCCCAAAGGGGTAGTGGAAGATGTCCTTGTTCGCGTTGGGAAACTTATTGTCCCAGTGGACTTCGTCGTCCTAGATGTGGGGGAAATGCAGGAGAATGGGAAGGATCACACCATCCTTCTCGGCAGACCATTCATGGCCACCATCAACACCCTCATCGATGTCAAGAACAGGACATTGAATATGACTGTCTTGGGCGAGTCCGTCTCTATTTCAGTCCGAGAAGCCACATCTGCATCCTCAGTGAACTTTGTGGAGGAGTGTGCCCGACCCATTTATAAATCTAGCTTCAAATAACTTAACAACAATGCATAAGGAATTAAATAGTGCAATAATATAATAAGATATCTACCAATTTATAAAAGTGTTAATAGATTTTTATTTTTTTTTATTTTGTGTTAACACAATATTTGAAAAGCTACGTTCAAAAGTAATAGATTAATATTTTCTTAAGAATGTACCCGAAAATACCACAAAGTTGCACTAAAGGTGAACCTTGAAAGCAATCATTTCAATTCCATCATGTGCTATTAGCGCAAACTCACAAACAGAGCCTTCAACGATGTTGTTTTCGTTTATGAAACAGTGGTCGTTTTCGGTATGACTAAAAAAATGTTTTTGAAAATGTGTCCAACCTTACACATATATTTGCCAAACTTGAAGAATATACATACATATATATATTTACTAGCATTTCTAAAAGTAGCTTGAAATTACTTCATATGAAAAAAAAAGTTTTTGTTTTACCATAAAATCCTAGAAGTTACATTCAAAAAACGAAAGA